CAGAGTGGCAAAATGGATTAAGGAACAAGATCCAACAATTTGTTGCCTCCAGGAAACACACCTCACGTCCAAGGACAAACACAGGCTCAGAGTGAAGGGGTGGAAGACAATGCTCCAAGCTAATAGCAAACAAAAGAAAGCAGGTGTTGCAATATTTCTATCAGACAAAACAGACTTCAAGATAAGGCAGGTAAAGAGAGACAGAGAGGGCCAATATATAATGATCAAAGGGACACTTCATCAAGAAGAAATAACGCTTATAAATATCTATGCACCCAACACAGGAGCACCAAAGCTCATAAAGCAACTATTAACAAACCTAAAAGAGGATATCAAAAATAACACAATAATAGTAGGGGACCTCAACACCCCACTCACATCAGTGGACAAATCATCGAGACAGAAAATCAACAAAGAAACAGTGGAGCTAAACGAAAAGCTAAAACACTTGGACTTAACAGACCTATATAGAACACTTCATCCAAAAACAGCAGAATACACATTCTTCTCAAGCACGCATGGAACATTCTCAAGGATAGACCATATGTTGGGAAACAAGGAGAGCCTCTACAAATTTGAAAAAAAATTGAAATAATAACAAGCATCTTCTCAGATCATAATGCTGTAAAGCTAGAAATTAATTACAAGAAAAAAGCTGAGAAAGGCACAAGGATGTGGAGACTAAACAATATGCTATTGAACAAGCAATGGATCATTGAAGAAATTAAGGAAGAAATCAAAAAATACCTGGAGGCAAATGAAAATGATAACATGCCATACCAAGTCATATGAGGATGCAGCAAAAGCTGTATTAAGAGGAAAAATTCATCGCAACTCAGGCACATCTTAACAAGAAAAATCCCAAATCAGCAATCTTAAAGTACACATAACCAAATTAGAGAAAGAAGAACAAACAAAGCCCAAAGTCAGGAGAAAGAGAGAAATAATAAAAATCAGAGCAGAAATAAATGCTATTGAAACAAAAAAGGCAGTAGAAAGGATCAATGAAACAAAGAGCTGGTTCTTTGAGAAGATAAATAAAATTGACAAACCCCTAGCCAGACTTACAAAGAAAAAAAGAGAGAAAGCTCAAGTAAACAAAATCAGAAATGGAAGAGGAGAAAGAACAACAGACTCCACAGAAATACAACGGATTATAAGAGAATACTACGAAAAACTATATGCCAGCAAAATGGATAACCTAGAGGAAATGGATAAATTCTTGGACTCCTACAATCTCCCAAAACTCACTCAAGAAGAAGTAGACAATTTGAACAGACCAATCACAAGGAAAGAGATAGAAACAGCCATCAAAAGCATCCCAAAGAATAAATCCCCAGGACCAGATGGCTTTCCTGGGGAATTCTACCAAACTTTCAGAGAGGATTTAATACCTATCCTTTTCAAGCTATTCCAAAAAATTAGGGAGGATGGAACACTTCCTAACACATTCTATGAGGCCAACATCACGCTGATACCAAAACCTGACAAGGACAGCACGAAAAAGGAGAACTACAGGCCAATATCGCTGATGAACATAGATGCAAAAATTCTCAACAAAATTTTGGCAACCAGAATTCAGCAATTCATCAAAAGGATCATACAGCATGATCAGGTGGGATTCATACCAGGAACACAGGGATGGTTCAACATCCCCAAATCAATCAACATGATACACCACATCAACAAACTGAGGAATAAAAACCACATGATCAGCTCAATAGATGCAGAGAAAGCATTTGACAAGATCCAACAGCCATTTATGATAAAAACTCTGAACAAAATGGGGATAGAAGGGAACTACCTCAACATAATAAAGGCCATATATGACAAACCTACAGCCAACATCATTCTCAATGGGCAAGAACTGAGCGCCATCCCCCTGAGAACGGGAAGCAGACAAGGATGCCCTCTATCACCACTCTTATTTAACATAGTTCTGGAGGTCCTGGCCAGAGCAAACAGGCAAGAAAAAGGAATAAAAGGAATCCAAATGGGGGAGAAGAAGTGCAACTCTCACTGTTTGCAGACGACATGATCTTATATATAGAAAACCCCAAAGAATCCATTGGAAAACTTTCAGAAGTAATCAACAACTACAGAAAGGTGCAGGGTATAAAATCAATTTACATAAATCAGTAGCATTTCTATACTCTAATAACGAACTGAAAAAAAAAAAACTCAAGAACACAATACCATTCACAATCGCAACAAAAAGAATAAAATACCTCCGGGTGAATTTAACTAAGGAAGTGAAAGACCTATACGATGAAAATTACAAGGCTTTTCTGAAAGAAATGGATGACAACATAAAGAGATGGAAAGACATTCCATGCACATGGACTGGAAGAATAAACATAGTTAAAATGTCCATACTACCTAAAGCAATCTACAGATTCAATGCCATCCCAATCAGAATCCCAATGACATTCTTTACAAAAATCGAACAAAGAATCCTAAAATTCATATGGGGCAACAAAAGACCCCGAATTGCTAAAGCAATCCTGAGAAAAAAGAACACAGCTGGAGGCATCACCATCCCTGACTTCAAAACGTACTACAAAGCTACAGTAATAAAAACAGCATGGTACTGGTACAAAAGCAGGTGCACAGATCAATGGAACAGAATTGAAAGCCCAGAAATAAAACCACACATCTATGGACAGCTAATCTTCGACAAAGGAGCTGAGGGGATACAATGGAGAAAAGAAAGTCTTTTCAACAAATGGTGCTAGGAAAACTGGAAAGCCACATGTAAAACAATGAAAATCAACCATTCTTTTTCACCATTTACTAAAATAAACTCAAAATGGATCAAAGACCTAAACATTAGGCCTGAAACAATAAGTCTGCTAGAAGAGAATATCGGCAGCACACTCTTTGACATCAGCTTCAAAAGAATCTTTTCGGACACCATAACCCCTCACATGAGGGAAACAATAGAAAGAATAAACAAACGGGACTTCATCAGACTAAAGAGCTTCTTCAAGGCAAGGGAAAACAGGATTGAAACATAAAAACAGCCCACTAATTGGGAAAAAATATCCACAAGTTATTTATCCGACAAAGGGTTAATCTCCATAATATACAAAGAACTCACACAACTCAACAATAAAAAATCAACCCAATTACAAAATGGGCAGGGGACATGAACAGACATTTCTCCAAAGAAGATATATGGATGGCCAATAGACACATGAAAAAGATGCTCACCATCACTAATCATCAGGGAAATGCAAATCAAAACTACACTAAGATATCACCTCACACCTGTTAGAATGGCAAAAATATCCAAAACCAAGAGTGACAAATGTTGGAGAGGCTGTGGAGAAAAGGGAACCCTCATACACTGTTGGTGGGAATGCAAACTGGTGCAGCCACTATGGAAAACAGTATGGAGATTCCTCAAGAAGTTAAGAATAGAAATACCTTATGACCCAGCCATCCCACTACTGGGTATCTATCCTAAGAACCTGAAATCAGCAATTCCAAAAGTTCCATGCACCCCTATGTTCATCGCAGCATTATTCACAATAGCCAAGTCAGGGAACCAACCTAAGTGCCCAGCAACTGATGATTGGATAAAGAAGATGTGGTATATATATACAATGGAATACTACTCAGCCATAAAAAAGGATAAAGTCGTCCCATTCACAACAACATGGATAGACCTTGAGGGTATTATGTTGAATGAAATAAGCCAGACAGAGAAAGACGAACTCTGTATGACTCCACTCATAGGTGGTAGTTAACATATGGACAAAGAGAACTGATTGGTGGTTACCAGGGGAAAGGGGGGTGGGGGGAGGGCACTAGGGGTGAAGTGGTGTACCTACAACATGACTAATAATGACGTACAACTGTAATTTCACAAGGATGTTAACGTTCATAACCTTAATAAAAAAAAAAACATAGCATTGGAGATTGGACTGGTGGTTACCATTGGGGAAGGGGGGAGGGGGGAGGGCAAAAGGGGTGATTAGGGTCACATGTGAGGGGATGCACTATAATTAGTGTTCGGGTGGTGAACATGATGTAATGTACACAGAATTTGAAATATGTACATCCGAAAAAAATAAAAATTAAAAAAAAAAGAAAAAGAAAATAGGAAAAGGAAAGTAACACAAAGTACACCACGCATATTATCTACCTGTATTTAATGACTAACAGGATATAAGGATATATTAAAAGGAAGTGGGACTGCAGCTGAAGCTGGCAGTATCAGATAAAAGAGGATAGGCAGTGGGACCAGAGAAATGTTAAAGCCAAGGGTTCCAAGGATCCAAGAAAATGAAGACTTGTAATAAAGAAACATTGACATAGACTTTTTATAACACCCCAAAGTTACCATTTTCTAGTACACACACACACACACATGATAATGATATAAATAGACAGATGGAGGGAATGTATATATACATGGTATGTTGCTCATTCGGGAAGGGGATAGTTAGTTCCCTTTGGGGACACTGACTAGTTTGGACATTAAGCACCTCAATATCCTTCCTGGGGAAACACTGGTTCTTGTAACTTTCAAGAGACCTCTGAAGTCACATCTTTCAGGAGCTTCTAAACAGAAACACTTGAATACTTCCAGGGCCTATTCCAAGGCTTGTACATTGAAGGCCAGAAGGGAAAAAAGTACAATTCAATGTCTCCCTGAATAAGTCTAATCTTAACACTGTCCCAAGAGTTCTTGCTGGCACAACTTGGAAGAGTCAGGATGCCTCAAGATGAAAGGTCTGGGAGCTCCAGAGGATGGCCTTTTCCAAGACACTATAGAACTCACTAAGTCTTACAGTCTACAAAACACAAACATTTCTTTTATGCCAATCTCTAAGAAATTAATGGAGCATATTTCTAGATATCAAATGAAGACCAGAGCACAAGTCACAAGCTGGTACTGGAGGAGATAAAAGGTCCCTTTGCTTTCATCCCCATTTTTCAGCTAAAATACTTCTCTCCCTAGCCCATAAGAAATGTCAAACAGAAAAACTTACAGGCTCTTCAAAATTGCTCTCTTCCTCAGATGGTAGTTGTAAAGTAGATTGCCAGTGCAGGGAGCTGTCACAAATCTCTAGATCATCAAACAAATTTTCTAAACCTGCTAGCTCAATGCGCTCACCAGTCAAGTCACCTTGGTCACATATCTGGGAAATATTAAAAAGCAAAATAACAATACCATTTCCTGCAACAATACTGGAAAAGACCGTGTTTCCCCCCAACTATCATTTTATTATGTCTCACCTCTCTTTCTAGTTCAGCAACTCTTTCACTGCATACAACAGCATTTTCATCTAGGCTACAGCATTCAGTATCATCATCCAGAGTACAGATGTCAGATTCAGCCTTCCCCTGCAGGCCCTCTACAAAATAGGAGTCATTTTGCATAATTGTATGTATAGTGAAACTGGACTTGGCTCCTATAGACCGAGGAATTTCACCTTGGCCTATATCAGCTTTCAGCAATGTCTTTTGGCTGACTACAATTAATGATGCATTATTGGTCACTGGTAAAGCACCTTTGACTTTGCATCACATGCCACCAAGTTTACTGAAAAGCTGCTTCCTACAGTTGCAGATGGACCTACAATGACATTACTAAAGTTTACAATCTTACCCAAAATATAGTTTGAGGAATCTGCAACTTCTTCAAAGGTTTGCTGCTTTAAATCTTGTAAAACCCAAGAATCTGAAGTTGATACTTTCGTTGGATAAATAATGTTTGAAGAGCCTACCTTCTCTAGAAGGTCAAGAGCAGAAACAGACTTTATCTTTCCATTGGGAAGAAATGGTTCATTGTCTATATCACACTGAAATAAAGCTGACTGTGTTTTGCAAAGACCAACAGCCTGGCTGTGAGATTTTTCACTTAAAGAAGCAGATGACTTAAGCTCTGGAATAAGAGAAAGTGGCTTAATGAACATTTCCTGAGAAACATTGGGGAGTGATTTTAAATTAGGATGCCGGTACAGGGAGCTACCATCATCATCTTTTTTATAGAACAATGGTTTTGAAGCTGCTGGTTCAAATACCCCAGGAGGAGATTGACAGCATGGAGGACTAAGTTTATCAAAGAAAGAATTTTCATCATTATAACTTAATAGGGAAAGATCTGCATTTTTTGGTTCACTTTCTTCTCTGTCATTTGTTAAAGATTTATTGATGGCAGTTCGGATTTCACTTACTGTACTCTCTTTCTTGGAAGGTTCAATAGAGGCAATAACTGCCTCAAAGGCTATATTTTTAGTAGCATCAAGATTTTTTCCACCAAAAGCAGAAGCTGCCTTTCGGTTTCTTTCCTCTTGAAAGTACAGTTGCTGTGAAGTCTCATCCAAGTTGGATTTAGTAGTCTGAAGAGGACCACCAGAAGCCTCCATCTGAGAGGTATCATGTCCCCTGGAGAGTATATGTGCTTCTGAAATTGTTACAGAATTATCCAGAACTATAACATTCTCAACACACTGTATTTCTGAAGATCTGGGGCGCACCTCTGAAAATACTAAAGTATTTCTATTTTCCTTTAGTTCAAAACATTGAGATAATTCTTTCCCCAGACCTTCATTTCTTTCACAACCCTCTAAAGAATCCATCTTTTGTTTCACCTCATTCTCAGCTGAAGCCCTTAAATAAACACTCTCAAAATAATGACTATCAGACATCAAAGGGATCCCTTTTCCTCTTCTTTCCAACGAACAACGCAAGAAAGAATATGATATTTTATTATTAAAATGAGGAGCAACTTCACATGGGAAAAAAACACAGTCCTTACTGATTAGACATGTTTCTGGATGGTGTGATGCTCCCTGTTTGCTCCATAGCATACCTGAAAAAGGGGCACCAAAACTGCCACTTCCCTTAGGGATTTTATTTTTATCAATTGTGTCAGATGAATCTGAATAAGAATCATGGTCCTTACTGGTTAAATATTTTTCTGACTGCTGTAAAACTTCCTGTTTCCAATGCTGAATATATGAACAAGAAGCTTCAAAACTGTCACTTCCTTTAGGAGTTATGTATTCATCAGTTGTATCAGACGAAGTTGAAAAAGAAACTTGACCTTTATCAGCTAAATTGGTTTCTGGCTCCTGTACAACTTGTTGTGTCTTCCATGGCATATATGAACAAAGAGCATCATAACTATCAGAGTCTTTGGGAGTTTTCAGTTTATCAACTGTATCAGATGAAATAGTCTCTTCTTTAGTCCCTTGTTCAGGAGGTAAAAAAGTGTGCTGAGATTCAACAGCTGTACTACCTAAAAGTGGGTGCTGAGATATACTAAAGAAACTGCTAACTAAGTCTGAAGCTACTTCTGAGGTTGCCTGGAATAAAGCTTCACTAACTTCCGACGGTCGAAAAAACCATTCAGTATCTTCAGACTTACCAGGAATTCCCCTGAAAATATACAGTTAAAAATAAACAAATAAATAACATATTAAAAACATTTATGTCTTTAAATACTAACATGAAAAAATACAAAACTGATATGTTACTGAAATTGAGGTTATTTGAAAAGTGTGTTGAAAAACAAAGTCCTACTTTCAAATTCCTTTAAGGTGACTAATGACTGAACAAAGCAAATTTTTTGTAAATAGAAGGTGAATTACTATCCTATGACCCTGATATTTTCCTAGACTTCTCCTAAAACAGTATTGCCAAAAAACATGAATATTTTCATATTGTCAAAAAATGATTCTTTAAATGAAAAATTCAAACTTTATTTAAAATGTTTATCACCTATCATAATTTAATATTCATTTAACCTTCATTAATTCTTTTACTAGTCAATTATGATGCTCTTGAAAGCCACTTAAGAAGTGATCTACTCCCAAAACAGAACAATAACCTAACCCATTGGTTGACTATGTGTACAGAATACTTTTGATAAAAGTAATTTTAAAGTAACACATAACAGAAGGGCAGAGGTGTTCACTGTGTAAACATCTATAGCTTTTAATTTAAGGTGTCTTTTTTTAGTACTAAAAGAACACTTATATTCTTGGATAATTCCTAATACATTTTGGAGAATTCCAGACTTGTCTCCCATTATGACTACTTTAAGGGCATTAATTTGGAATAACTGTTAATTTGGATATGTCTGTTAGAAAAATCTTGTTACTTCATATTCACACCTCCTATAAGATAAGGAGAGATAACTAGGCTCATTCAATATCAGCTGACCAGGGGCCGGCTCCATGGCTAGGTGGTTAAGTTTGCACGCTCTGCTTTGGCGGCTCAGGGTTTCTCCGGTTTGGATCCTGGGCACGGACATGGCATCGCTCGTCAGGCCATGTTGAGGCAGCATCCCACACGCCACAGCTAGAAGGACCCACAACTAAAATATACAATTATGTACTGGGGGCATTTGGGGAGGAAAAAAAAAATATCAGCTGACCAAAATGGGAGTGCCATACAAGTCAGTGACCATAAAATGAATGCTTTTTACATAATGGGGGTGGGCTGATGGGAATAGGAGGAAAATCCAGTATGCCTTCTAAATTAAAATATACCTGAAGTGCTTGATTATATTATAAATTATTTTTAAATAAGCTACAATCACCTGGCTCATTTTTACACATATGTTACCATATCAAATTAATATGCATCATGTCTCCACTTATGGCCCTGTTACCTTCAGATAGGTACTGAGAGTATCTAATCCCCACCCCAGAGTCTCACCTTAGCCTGAAGATATTAATAACAACTCAGAACAAGAAAAGAAAGAGTAGAAAGGTTACATGCAAATAAAAAAATAAATCATCCTACCTCAGAGGTGCAAAATCTAGTTCACTTTGGTGAAATAAGGAATCAGGCCCAAACTCCTGATCTTGTGCCAAACATGTCAGCAAAGGCAAATAGGGAGAAGCAAAGCTGTCTTGTATTACTGCAAAGTTTCAAACATAAAAATATTGGGAATGCTGAAAATTAATTGCTTAGCTTACTCACATAATACTTTGAAGATCCAAATATGCTGCCATCTAGAAGCTTCTACAAGCATTAGAATGATAATATAATAGGAGCAGCAGCAACTATCATTTACTTCTAGCCTGACACGGTCCAGGTACTTAAGATACAATATTTCACCTAATTCTCATGACAACCTTGAAAGATAGGTATTTTTATGCCCAACTTATAGGCAAGGAAACGTGATTACAAATCTTAAGTAATATTAAGTAATCTGTCCACATGCAAAGAGCTAACTGCTAGAGTGACATCTGAACCGCAAACACTCTAACAAGTGTTCTTGACTAGTGTGAGTGTTTTTTTCTAGCTTATATCAAAGTGTGGTCCACCAACTCCTGGGCATCTCTAAGACACTCCCATAAGGTGCCTAGGTTCAAAATTATATTAAAAATAATATTAAGATATCATTTTCCTTATTCACTCTCATTCTCGCACAAGGGTATGGCGGAATTTTCCAGAAGCGATATCACGTATGATACAGCAACATATTGAATGCAGAAGCAGATATCAGAATCTGTCTTCTATTAAGTCAGACATTACAGGGATTTTTTTTTTTTAAGTAAAACAATGCTATTCTTCTAAATATTTTTGTGTTGGAAAACAGTTATTTTTCTAAAAAATATATGTAATTTATGTTAACATGCAATGGAGTTATTGTTTAATGAGTTCATAAATATGTATTAAATTTCTCAGTTTTAATTTCTAAGATGCAAAAATACCAATAACCGACATAAACAAAAGCTCTTTGGAGTCCTCAGTAATTTTAAAGTGTGTAAAGGAATCCTGCAACTAAAACATCTGAGAACTGCTGATGCAAAGGAAAAAAATTCCTGTGGATTCCTAAATGCAAACTTAAACAATTCTTATTATAATGTCCTTAAATATGTACAGACTAGGTATAAACTCCTTATTCCTTATAGCTTTTATATAACTACAAAACAAAAAATTAACTATTAATAGAAACAAAACTATAAAATCAACAGCCAATTCTCCTACCCAATTCTATTTAATATTAATTTAACTGGATGGGTAACGTTTTGCTAAAACTAAATTGTTCTTTCAATATGAATGTAACACGGTTGCTACAGTGTACTTCCTTGATTTCAGAATGCCTGTAATACTGCACATCTTCCCTATCCTAACTGTCACACTCTTCTTTTAATCTTTGGTCTATCTGCTTCCCACCTAGACTGTCAACTCTATGTCTGCTTTATTCATAGCTGTACCATCAGTGCCTAGCAAAGAATCTGCTACACATAGTAGATACTCAAAATGGAATCATTTATTTACTGAATGAATTAATTAAAAATGAGAAACTGAAAGATAACAATAACGTTTACACCAAGGACTAATTGGTAAGGTTCTTCTTTGGCCTTGGCTGAGAGACTCAGTCTTAAACCTTCCTAACAGAAGTCCTTCACCCCTCTAAGATTCAAGATGGTTTTTTAACAAAAAATCCACATTTCCTCACATTCGTACAACTGTTGATGGCTTGGATCGCTCTTTTTTGAGATATCTAACAGTTCTGGCACCAGTAATCATCATCACATTTGCCACTGATGAGACCAACGCACCCAACAATGACTGTATTCACACATAACAAAACAGCAATAATGAAATGTCCTCTGGCCATCAGATCCAGGGATCTGCTGTAATAATTAAAAATGTTCTACTTTATCTACAGTAAATGGGAAGCTGGAGTTACAAAACTTTACATTAGAAAACATTTTAGAAGCCACATAGAACAATCTCCTACCAAATGCTGAAATTCTTCTATTAGAGAATTTTGCTTGACATTTTGCAGTGACATAAAGCTCTCTTCTCTTTTTGTCGTTATAGAGCCTTTCCACTATTAAATGGCTCTTTTAGAAAGTTCTTTCTTATATCAAGTTGAAAACAGCCTCCCTATAGTTATACATTTTTATTTTAACCTCAAACATTTTTTATGGACCAACTAGTAAATATTTGGCTTTGTCCGTCACCTATGGTCTCTGTCATATATACTTCTTCATTTTGTTTGTATTTACAATCCTTTAAAAATTTGAAAATGAGTCTTAGCTCATGGACAGTACAAAACCAGGCCTTGGCCTATGGTCTATAGTTGCAGACCCCTGCTCTAGACCATTATAATACTCACGCCAGGGTACTATTATTTTCTGTTTACTAGATTGTCTTCCCAAAAGAAGAGGTAGCTTTCTTCGAGAGAGAGAGAGAGAGAGAGATATATATATATCCCTAGCATCACACACATAATAGGCACTTAGATATTTGTTAAATAAATGAAGGAATGAAAAATAAGTTGCTTCCTCTTGAGCATGACAGCCCTTCAAATACCACAGCAAAGTCTTCTCTTTCATCTATTACAGTCATTTCCCCCCACAAACAAATTCTAAAGTTATAAACCAAAATTGACTTTGACGATCCACATCATAGAATACACTGGCACCAATATTTTGATTTGGATAGCTTTAGCTTATGTTCGAAAAGAACTTGTTGAATTAACTCCTATTCATGCTTCTCTACAAAACTGTGACAAAACAACTTCATGGCTGAATCCCATTCCCCTGACAAAGGCTAATTCTAAAAAATGTGGTTGTTGCATTTTTTTCAATTTTTGGAAAAAAAAAATCTGAAGAAAACAAAAGGAAGAACAAAATAACATTTGTCTGAATTACGATTTAGGCATAAAAAAACTGAAATTATCATATCGGTTAAGCATTTTTCTATATGTACAATGATCCAAAGTAGCAGTAATAGTGCAATTCTATCTTCCACCTTGATGATTTGAAAGGTACTTAAAGTTCACCTTTTGTAAATAGCGAATGAATCAGTTCCATATTAAACAGAGGAAAGAAGTAAGATCTACCCCAATAAGTCAATTAACTTCTTTATCTCAATTTTTAGGTCTGAAAATTGAGGATAATAACATACGACTTAGCTAATTCTCAGACTCTTGTGTGGTAAGCATGAACATTTGTTTTTTGTTTGTTTTTTAAGGATCATGGAGTTTCCATTGCTGAGATAAGTAGTTGAAGGATAATATATGGTTTACCCCAAGAAAAACTCCACAAATTCAGGACACCCACTAGAGGAAGCCATCGCCTTTCTGCCTTCAGTGAGTAATAGGGCATGAGAAAACCAGAGGCAACTGTACATTTAATGTGACTAGACCAGCTGGCCAGCGTGGAAAACTAGTCAATAGCTACTAACTTTGAATATGGCTCTACAGAGCTCCTCAACTCAAGAAAGGATTCAGATGAAAGACTTGCAGTCCCCTAAAAGCATTTTACAAACGTTAGGTATTACTACTAGTTAAAAATAAAGAGGCATTACCTAGCAATGGAGAACATAAGAAATCTCTGTTAGGTTCCTTAACTTGATTTCCTGATTGAGTCAATATAACTTCCTCCAGAGAGGGGAAGTCTGTCACTTCAGTCCCTTCCTCTTCCACATTAAACCTTGTCTGGGTTGTATCCAAGGTGTGGGAAGAGGCCATTTCTTGAGGAAGACAATGCCAAGATTCTGTTCTCTAAAACAATAATTTTGAAAGAAAACATGCTAAATCATTAACTGAGTTATCATACATATTAACATTTAGATTAAAATGTCCACTCACATAGCATATAGCTTCCTATTTGATGACATTCTCATCAAAGTCTGGAAAAAGGAAAGCTCTCTGTTTTTCACAATATTAACTACATTTTAGGTCTCTTCTTATTACTACCCATCTTTTAATGTGTTGAATCACTGGCATTTCTGCTATTCCTTAACAGCTAGTTCTCATCATTAAAACAATAAATTTGGTTCTACATGATGAAATCTTACATTTTGATTATAATAAAACAAAAAAAATTTTCCAAACCTAACACTACAATATTGTCTACATGGGACCACTTTACTAAATCCTTAAAACTATACTAGTTTATAGTGGACTCTTGGTTCTTCTCTTTTATATAACATTATCATATCATCCATGGAATAGTGATACATTCGTCTCTTCCAAATGTTCACTCTTAACTTTAGTGGCATGACTCAGAGCAATGCTTTTCAAAACATCTCTGGGAAAGATGAGTTTTCCTACTTCCAATTCATCACAGACTGATATTTTATTAAAATACTAATAAAAATTAATAAGTAATAAATAAAAATAAGCTGGTAAAAATAATGAGAAAAATGAAATTTAAGATATATATAAGCCCAAAATACAAAACACAAGCTCAAATGTCTGATTTCTAGTTCTAAAGAAAAAGCAAAATTACTGTCAAATTGCTATAAAAGTTGCTAAACACTTCTTCTCAATTCTTGTACTTCTCTCTTGACAGACCACTATAAGCAATTCACGGACTGGCACCAATCCACAGACTACACTAAGAAGCAATGTAGAATTAAATACTAATGGTAACTAGTTTTATAGGCATTTCCCTTTTAAACTTAGCATTGGTTATTAATTAAGAATATTCCTCCTATCATGCTATGAAAGTATTTTTATTTTCATTTTTATTTGATTAGGAATGAGCACTAAATCTGATCAAACTACATTATAGCATCTTTTTTTCACAATTAAATCTGATAAAGTATAGCAATAAATTTTTTTATATTGCAACATCATATTTCTTACTTGGTAGCAGTAGATCAGACTTTTAATCATATTTGCTAACACAGTCTTTAATATTTTCACTCATATATAGTCATAATAAGAATAATCAGTATTTTACAAAGCCTTGCTTTGCTTCCTAATCTTGTTCCAAGTTGATCTATATTTCTTTTATACAAGGAAATTCAGTTTTCCTTAAAAATATAAAAGATTTCACCAGTGAATCCATTAGGTCTAGAAATCTCTTTGATAGCTGGTACTTTATAATTTTCTCAATTTCCTTCTTAGTAGTACTAGTCCACCCCTATAAGCTTTGATAGGTTTGTATTAAGTTTATTTCATTAAGGGTTTTTTTTCTTGACTCGATTTGCCAGTAATGTATCCATTTTTTCTACTTTGAATTTAATAATTTTATTATATTTTCTAACTTAATTATGTCTGTTTTTCTCTTTACCATGTTTCCTCTACTTGTAGTTTTTCATTTTTTATCTAAAATCTTTGGTTAAATAAGGAATCAATTTTGTTTTACATTTATTTATTTAAATAAAAAATGAGAAGATGGCATTATATTGATGGCAACCTACATGCTTAGATATATAACATACTGATTTTCATTATTTGTAAATAGTCTATTACCGGACTCCTCTTCCTTGACCAATGCAAATGTTTTTTAAGACAATACAGATTTTTATTTCATTCCCAAATGACCCAAAATCCATAAAAACAAGATGTATTACAACTTAGAAAGATTTTCACAAACATTTTCAAACAAGACTTTTGTTCTGAAGAGCTATTTCCAGTATTTAAAATTCATTAACCAAATGCTCTTTCAGTAAGTTAAAAAAAAAGATATGCAGTTATCTACTACCTAATTATCAGTTACATAAATATACACAGAGAGAAAAATTGGAGAGAAGTATTCTAAAATGTTAATACTATTCATCTATGGCTTATGGGATTACAGAACAGTAGACCTTTGACACTGCAAAATATCTCAGTCCCTTCTATGCTGGATAAATTACTCAAATCTATAGAATCAAATTGCTATGGAGAACATGATTTTTGGGTCTGGCCTGGTGGTATAGTGGTTAGATTCGCATACTTCACCTCAGTGGCCCGGGATTCATAGGTTCAGATCCTGGGTGCGGACTACACACCGCTTATCAAGCCACGCTGTGACGGTATCCCACATAAAACAGAGGAAGATGGGCAATAGATGTTACCTCAGGGCCAACCTTCCTCACAAAAAGAAAAAAGAAAAAAACACGCTTTTTATGTTTTTAATACTTGAAAATAAAGGGAATATGAGAATGATTCATTTTAATTTTTTTCTTTTGAGAAGACTCCACTCTATAGGGGACCATGGGCCAATGAAGGGTTTTAAACCAGGGGAATTCCACTCATTTTGTAACTCTCACTACAGCCAGATCTTGAGGCCCTGACTCATCTCTCAGCCCCCTTGACCATGGTTTGAGCCTGGTCCCATGGTTTATTCCTCACTACTGATGAGAGACGAGATGTATCCTTTTGCTCTCCTGCCCATTCTCTGACCTCCACAGATCATTTACTCTACTCTAGCTCGTCAATTGCAATAATTCTTTAACCTTATGAAGACAACTATCCTATCACATTTACACTTTTCACAATTCTTTTCTTATCTGTATATCCTTCTTTACCATTCTGAGTTCATAGTCATCCTTATAATCACTGCCTTGCAAACATTTTTAACTTTCTTGCCTTTTTCTCCCATAATCCTATTTGCCTAGCAAAAGCTCAGTTCTGGTTGAAACTTCTCCTTGTCTGAGTCCAAGCAGCAGCACACTGCTAAAGAAAACACACACCCAGATTGGTTTTCCTTTAAAATGATGAGATTAAATCTCAAGGGCACTCAGCATTGCCTGGAAATCCTACTATAATTTCCTGGCAAGTTGACTACTAAAATGACTACTGAACTCTCCTTCCTCATTTTCAACTGATGACCTCATCTCCTACTTCAATAAGCGAATAGCAGGAGAGGAACTTCCTTATCTTCCTACCACCAGGACTATAATCCCAGTATCTACCCAGAGTTCCATCTTGTGACTTAAAAAACTGTCTACTTATCAAAGCCCTTCCCATCTCATTCCATTTTTTTAATGATGTCCTTCCTCTATGTGATTCTCCCACTTCTCTTCATCCATTTTCCCTTTCTACTGGATCATTCCTCTCCCCATGCAAACATACTCTTATAATTTCCCATTATAAAATATAATTTTTAAAAATCTCTGTTCAACATTCCTTTTCTTTCTGCATATTTTGTTGCTATGTTTCTATCACACATGATTCCTTGTGTTACACCTTTTCAATCAATACAAAAAGGCCCTCAAATCTCTAAATATTTTGACAGATGTGAGTAGGGATGACAAATAAACAGCTGAATAAATACAAACAAATTTTGAGAAGTAAAAGTTGGAGATATAAATTTGGGATTTTTAAGTATACAGTAAAGCCCTGAATCTAGATGAGAACCAAAACATTCCAACATTTCAAGCAGAACTCAAAAATTCAAATGTATATAGGGTTAGGAAGGTAACAGAAATGAGTAAATCTGCCTGGAATTAGAGATTACTGAGACCTGTGGCCAGCTATGCACTACATGCACACTTTAAAGTGTTCTGTTTCAAAATTTTTAAAACCTTCTTCCAAATTTTTTTTTTCCTGCAAACCACATTTTGGCCATATTCAGGTCCACAGCTTATAACCTTTGATTTCAAGGTTTAACAGGGGAAGAAAAAGCAGCAAAGGAAACTGAGAGAGAATAGCCAGAGGAATAGAAAGAAAACCAGGAGAAGCCAAGAAAGAAAATAATTTTAAGAAGTTATGCAATGGTTAGCAGTGTCAAACGCTATTTATTGCACCTGCGGGGGACTGGTCTTGGCCATGCCAAGATACGTCTCTTTGGCATGAGGATTATTTGGAGCTTGTTGCTTTAGATAAGCTGGGACAGGGAAGGAGGCTCTGAGGAGTGGAACTTGCTTACCCTTTGTTAGGAAACATTTACATTGTAAAGGAAATCTCCATCTGTAAAGGTGCCTCCCTCTCTGTATCAGGAAGAGGGGGATGACCTTATCTCTAGAAACTCTTAATCAATACCAAAGGCAAGGTCTTAAATCTGCATAATAATCTTATTCCTGTTTCTGGTAACCTCCTGTAACTGACTACCCCCACCCCCAACATCCTCCTTTGTCTTTAGCTGGATATGATATTTAAGGTGGGGGCTTCAGCCATTTTGGCGAGTTGCTCAGCTTGCCTGACCTCTCCCATGGATACATGTTATAAAGCTTTGTTTAATTTTCTCCTGCTATTCTGTCTCATGTGAATTTACTTCGTTCTCCGGCCAGACGAACCCAGAGAGGATAGAGGAAATGTCTTCCTCCCCTACACACCTAAGATGAGGACAGAAAAGTGTTCACTGTATTCAGCTATATAAATGTTATTGGTGACACTTGCTTTCACAGAGTTGAGGTCAGAACACAAAGTAGATCAAGGAGAAGCATAAGTAGATCCTAGCCAGTGATATAAGATATATATATTAAAAAAACATATACAGTTGATATGATTGTCTACATAGGAAGTCCTAAAGAATCTACACAAGAGCTAGTACCAGAACTAGTAAATGAGATTAGCAAGGTCATAGGACACAAGGTCAACAAAAAAAGTCAATCATATTTCTATATACTTGTGATGAATGATGTGGGCTTGGTGAGCCAAGGAATCAAAAGAAAGATTTCTTGGACTCTCAAGGTATGGTAGTAGTGCTCCTTTATTCAGAGAATAGCATGGAGCAGCATGGGGACAGGACCCCCGGGCAGCGAAGAGCTGCCATGGGTTGAGGGCAGGGCTAAATTTATAAGGCATAGGTATGTAAGTTCTCTTTACAAAACAAAGGAAAAATC